GGGACAGCGTGCAACCTTGTGGGACCCCCTGCTCAATGTCGAAGAATTTTGACAGTTCTCCGTCTAGCATGACCGCGCTTTTCGTGCACTCTGTCATCTTCTTCAGCACTCTCCACATTTTCCCCTTGATCCCGTATTTGGACAGTTGTTTCCACAACCCATTTCTCCATACGGTGTCGTATGCCTTTTTCACGTCCAGGAAGAAGCAGTACGTCGGCTTTCCCGCCCTCTTTCTACCTTGGATGATTCTCCCTACCGTGAATACGTGGTCTACGCACCCCGTCTTCTTTCGGAAGCCTGCCTGGCCCTCACTAATGCTATGGTCCTTTTCCAATACTCCCACTATCCTATCGTTCAGCAGCTTACAGAACACTTTTCCTACTGTGTTCAACAGTGTGATCCCCCTGTAGTTTCCCGGGTCAGTCTTGTCTCCTTTCTTAAACAAGTTCACAACCACTCCTTCCCTCCATCTAACACCCAGGCACAAGTAAAAGCCATGCACCCACGCAGGCAGGCGAACACACAGGAGAACCTAGGTCCTACAGTAACCTACGTCAGGGCGACTCTTATAAGTATGTCCATGCACGCCAGTTGACTGGACATTACCACCAACACTTGTTTCTATGCAGGTTTATTCCGTAAGATTTGTAAGGCGATGGCCGGGGCATTAAACCTGTTGTTGCATCTGTCGCACAACAGCAGTGACTGAAGGTATTTCGGTAGGTAAAGCTGCGCAACTTCTGACGTGTTTCAGTAGGTGCGCAACTTCCGACGTTTGGACGTGGGTTTGAATATCGATGCTGTAACACGAGCTGTTTTTTTTTATTCCACACTACTACATCAGTAGTAGAACACATCATCATGAGCTAAATAGCTCACTCTCACCTACGAAAAGATCAACATGGAGCAAACATGTATACTCAAGACGCTTGTGTCCTACTGAGCAGCATGGAGCAAATATACTCCGGGCCACCGTCGTCCTTCAGATCACAAGGGACATACATACGCATACCCTCACCAGAGCTAGCTCGATCTGTCTTATGTGTACATTTGTTCTCACGGCTGCCTCCTGCGCTCAGTGCGCTAGCCTTTCAAGTTGTTTCGACTTGCAAAGTTTTGTTTGCTTCTCACACAACCAACGCTGCTGCCTAGAATTAGCTTTCCTCGCTACCCCCAGCCTCACCCCAACCTTTGCATATTTCAGAGGAAAAGTTGTACAACTATGTAACCACATGTATTATTATATAATACTTCCTCCTTGAGCTTCATTCCCCCCCTTTGGAAGCAAATGGTCCGGCCTCCCGAGGACGCGTGGTCAATGGTCTAACAGCTAAGGCATGAAAAACATTAGTACGCCCCCCCCCCCCGTGCTACCTCGCTGTTTATGTCCCCCGCATGTTCAGGTTGCGTCCAAACCCCGTATTGCCCAACGAGCTAGCCCTTCCCCGTCTAGAAAGATGGTGTCCACGACCAACGGGGGGGATGGCGACGGCGGCGAGGTGCGGGGAGGGGACGCGGCGAAGCCCGTGACAGTTCAGACGCAGGCGCTGTGGCTGCTGGCATGGCTGGTGAATAACATCGGCATCACCATGCTCAACAAGCAGGTCATGTCGTTCGCGAGCTTCGACTACCCGCTTGTGGTGAGTTATTTTTTGTCGAGGATCAAGTTGCTTGCTTGCTTGCTTGCTTGCTTGCTTGCTTGCTTGCTTGGCGTTGGTTTTCTGTTTGTTTTTGGCCGGGGGTCGGGGTTTTGTCAAGGGGGAGAGATGCGGCACGAGGTGGAAGAAAGGTGCCTAGGTACGCCTCTATCGGTTCAGATAGTTGCCACCCCTTCTTTTACCAAGCACCACTTCGTATACAACAACATCGCATTTTTTTTTTTCAGGGAAGGGTGGTGCACGACCACATTGTTGTTCGTGTGTTACTCGTTTCTGGAGGGCAAGTTGTTGCGATGTATCGTATGTATTCGCCATGATCGTGTCAGGCCCCATCAACTTGATTTTTTTTGTCACACCCAGGACATGCATGATCTTGGGGTAAGTGTGTCCATCGCGTGCGATGGCTTGTGGTTGATGCGGGCGGCCATCTCGCGTGGCAAGCAGCAGGAAGCTGTCGCGGATGGGGCATGGACGGTGGCTTCGTGTGTGTGTCCCCCCTCCGCACGTGCTCTTCCGCTACCTTTCACGGAGCTCCAGGCGTCGAAACATATCTTGGGTAGCATTGACGATGATGGATCCGCGCGTTGCATCTCGTGTGCCCGTTTTTCCCGCGACGAGATCTCGCTACAACTACTGCCGCCGTTGCTGCTGCTGCTGATGTTTGTTGATGTTGTTGCTCTGCTGTCTCCGCATATTGGCGTTTCACATGTTCTGCAGTGAGTCTTACTGCTGCTGCTGCTGCTTCTGAAAATTGTCACCATTTTGTCTCCAAATGTCGGCATTTCACAAGTTCTGCAATGAAATCTTGCTGCTGCTGCTGCTGCTGCTCCTCTTTGCTTGATGTTGTTATCATTCTGTCTCCAGATGTCGGCGTTTCACATGTTCTGCAATTGGCTGGGCACCGTGGTGTACTTCGCCCGCTCCGGGGAGGAGCAGCAGACCATCAAGCGGCAGCAGTGGCCCACGCTCATCATGTTCAGCGTCGTGTTTGCGCTCAACATCTCCGTCGGCAACAAGAGCTCATCCATGGTGCCGGTGACGTTCAACCAGGTGTGTGGCGTGTGGTGGCGCGATGTCGATGTTCAGCGTGAACGGCGGAGGGTCGTGGAGGCCCGAACATGTGAAGGCACCCCGCCTACCCCGACACAGGCACGTGCTTAACTCTGCTCTTTTTATCTGTTTCTCTCTCTCTCTCTCTCTGTTTTCTCTCTCTCTCTCTCTCTCTCTCTCTTTCTCTCTGTCTCTGTCTCTGTCTCTGTCTCTCTGTCTCTCTCCGCCCCCCCCATCTCTCTGTATGTCTGCCTGCCTTTTCTCGCTCGCTCGCTCTCTCTCTCTCTGCATGTTGGTTTGGTCCAGGTGATGCGATCGCTGGTTCCGGTGATTGTGATGGTGATCGGGACGCAGGTGTTCGGGAAGACCTTCTCCAGAGCAAGAAAAGTGAGGCAGACACATACATGCAGAGAGTCAACACAGACAAAGAAAACTTACAAGTAAGAACAAGCAGGCAGGCAGAAGAAGAGAAACGAGACGAGAAATGGGAGAGAGAGAGAGAGAGAGAGAGAGAGAGAGAGAGAGAGAGAGAGAAGGTCGCGTGAATCCTCTCTTTCAATGTACCTGTCACCCACAGAGAGCTACAACGTTGGTGTTGTACGCGATTTGGGAGGCTTGCCCGCTCTTGGCTGTCTGTGTGAGAGCAGTCTGCCAAAGGAGTTCCGCTGGTGTTGCTCAGGCCGATAGATAGCACTGTGGGCGGCGGCTCTGGTATACCCCGCTGAGGCCAAGCTTGGAGGTAACACTTTCCGAAGGACAATCGTTGCCGTCCAACCTCGGTGTGGTCCGAACCGCTGGTCCTCCCACCCCCCCCCTCCGGCAAACCTGCTCCTCTGCTGTACTCCCGTCATGTATCCTCCTTTTTCTTGTTGAAGTTGCTGCTGCTTGTAAGGAAATATTTATCCACCTTAAGATGGACATGGTGTTCGCTTTTGTTGCAACTTTTCGTCTCGCTTTCCCTGCCCCCCCATTTCGACTTGTCTCACCAGCCAGCTCGCGGTGTTGCCACTGCAAACCTTAACCTTTCCTCCCGCTCTTCCCTGTCCGACCCCGTTTCGACATGCCTTGCCCGTGCTGACGCTTTTGTTGGAACGTTTCCTCCCGCTTTCCTCGTCCTACGTACACACCTCGTCTGGCTTGCTTCGCCCCGCCAGCTCGCAGTGTTGCCCATCGTGGTGGGCGTGATCATGGCCTGCTACCCTGACTCGGCGAGCGATTCTATCCCGGAGGCGAGGTCATTCCGGGCGGTGGGAGTGGTTGTGACGGTGTTCTGCGTCATGCTGTCGGGGCTCAAGAATGTGCTGTCCGGAGAGATGCTTACGGGGGATATGAAGGTATTTACCTACCTTTTCTTCCGATTATTTAGGGAGTACTTTTTTTGTCACGCGTATCTTCGTTGTCGTCATTGTCGACTCATTGACTATTCATTGGTTTACTCACTATTTTGATTTCAAGATTTTCACTTTTGTTTTATTGGGAAATAATGCATCCAATCAAAGAAGGGCTATCTAGCCGTTCGAGATATAACCACAGTCGAAAGGGATGTGTGTTGGGTTGTTTCACCCTGAATTTGTTTCCTTTCCCTCTGACAGGTCAGAATCCAGAAATATTTCATTTCGGTCGCTATCTACCTTCTTTTTCGTTGTGTAGGTCTTTCCCTACCATGTTCTCTTTTGTACGTGGACGGACCGACGCAGGAAGAAAGCAACGAGAAATGGAGACGGAAGCATAGCTGCAGTAGTGTATTCTACTTGAGTCTTGCTGCAATCCGAGCAAGCCGAAGGGCAGCTAGAAGGCGTCGGGAAGACCAGCACACTCGCAAGACGTCTGTGGACACTTGATTTGGTCTTGAGATATGTCCAACAATGTTGTGACTTGTTTCTTTTTTTGTGGGGACGAGCTTACAGCCAATGTCACCGATTGCACATTGCTGTAGTACGAACTCTCAACGCGTTTTTGAATCCTTTCGGCAGTATGTTTGAAGTGAGGTGCGCGGCCACATTCGGGGGCACAGCAGTTTCACGTACTATGTGTCCACCCCTATACCTGGTGTAATTCGTAACCTTAACAGGCATCATCATTGCACCAATGTGGGCGGCCGTGCTGCTGATTTTGTCTTCCTGCTTGACGGTCACAATTCATCTGAAACCCGCATGGAGTGAGGCAGCATTCTCGTCCCCCCCCCTCCCAAATTCCTCTGTCTGACCCCCGCCCCCTCCTCTCTCGCTCTCTCTCGCTCTCTCTCTCTCTCTCCCTTTTTTCTGCGCATGGATACCACAAACCGCTTCGAATAATTGAAAATATAAATAAAACAGATGCCACCGCTCCAGCTGCTCTCGCGAATGGCGCCCCTAGCCCTGGTGCAGATGGCTGCGGGTGCGCTCGCTCTCGGGGAGGTTGGCAGCCTAGTCGCCAACTGGCAAGAGATCAGGGAGGGGTGGGCGCTGTACGGGGTGGTGATTACGGGGGTGGGTTCCTTCTCGCTGAACCTCTGCAGCCTGTATGCGAATAAGGTCACCTCCCCGCTCACCCTTAGCATCATGGCCAACATCAAGCAGGTGCGCCTCTGTCTGTTTCGAACGAGTAGTAAGTAGGGTTACCTCGAAGTACACCACGACGATTTATCTCTTATGCATAGATGCCGGTCTAGGAACATAGCAAATGAAGCCACTGCGTTTTGCACTTTCTTCGAGGCGGGCGTTCTGATGTGGACGTTGTTTGGTTTGGTCTTATGCTTTGTCCAAGGGTTGATGTTCGATGTTGCTGTATCATCCATCTTGGTTTTGTTTCACCCTTATGTAGAGAATAGCGGGGTTGAGCTAGAAGCACAAGTCGTTTGCGTCTTGGGCGCGCCCCTGAACCAGCCAAGTAACGAACGAGCGCCTTCAAGCGCGAAAGCGGGCACAGCACCTAGGGTTAGCCACGACGAAGTGAACCGGACGGACAAAAGAGCGTACTGTAGCCGATCAGAGCAAGTACAAAGCAAGTACAAGCGACTGAGAGTGGGGTGTTGTTCCGCCGCCGTTCTTTTCTCGCCGCAAAGCATGCTGCTGCTGCTGCTGCTGCTGCTGCTGCTGCCGCTGCTGCCGCTGCTGCTCGAGTTTTGAGGAAACGTTCAGTGTAAATGTTACAATATCGAGCTTCACGATATTTGAATATTTGGCGTCATCGTACTGACATAATGTTATGATGCGACGCACGTACATGCAGTGAAACGAAGCTCACCTTAACCAAACCACGGTGTGACGGCGGTGCTGTCCGACCATATGTCTTGTCTGTTTCTCTCTGCGGCTCTATGTGGTGTCTTATTGTCGTCTCTCTCCCTCTCCCTCTCCCTCTCCCTCTCCTGACCATCTGTCTCTGTTTCTGTCTCGTGCCTGCCCATCGTCGTGTCTCTCTCTGCCTCTCTCTCCGTGGTTGCCTTATCGTCGTCTCTCCTGACCATCTCCATCTCCCTCTCTCTCTCTCTCCGTGGTTGTCTGCTCGTCGTCTCTCCCCTCTCCCGGCGTGTAGGTGTTGATCGTCGCCGCCAGCTCGGTCGTCTTCAAGGACACCACTTCCACGCTGAACAAGTTCGGCTTCGTCGTGGTGATCCTCGCGAGCACCCGTTACAGCATGCTCAGCGTCTCGGAACGGAATAAGAGTCGGGAGGTGAAGGCGCTGATCGAGCCACGCGAGATTGGCGTCGGCAAGAGCTTACCTCTCCTGCCCAAGTAGCAGAAACCGGCGTGATAATTGTTTTGGTCGTGAAGGCTCGAAACAACAAATTACATATCGGCCGGGGAGCGGCCGGCGGAGGGGGCTGGGGTACCGCCCCCCTTTGGTTCAAACCATTGGAGGAAAATCTGACTCTTGCATGGAGAATGATCGGAATTTCCGTCACTTTTTTTAAGCCTTGCTGTCCGTTGGTTGCCTTACGGCTGCCTTTAGTCGCTTGGCGCACGAGCACACATGCTTGCGTCTCTCTCCAGGCGGAGCAGCGCACTCCTGGGGGAAGACGGCAGCACTTGCCTCGGGGACTCCGTGTTCGTTTCGTGGTCTGCGCGTCCGCCATAGCCGCCTTCGGAGACCGAGGGGGCACCGCCCGGGAGGAGGGGGGGGCGTAGCCCGAGGTACACGCGGGAGGGTATGCATAGTTGTTGAGAGCTGAGTTGGGCCGCATTTTGCTTGGGTCAGGCGTTGTGCAAACAAGCACCCAACCAGTTCGATCCTCGCTCGGGTACTGCTGTCGGCTACTGCTGTCGGGTACTGTAAGCGTGTTTCTTGTGTGTGTGTGTGTGTGTGTGTGTGTGTGTGTGTGTGTGTATGTGTTTCCACGGGCCGATGGACTCTTTTTCGTGTTGTTCTTGTGTGCGTTTTGTATTGGTGTGTATGTGTGTCTCATCGTTTTGTTTTTTGTACTTTTACCTGTGATTTTTTTTTCCCATCTGACGGAGGCAGCAGCAGCAGCAGCAGTACGAGCAGTGGTATAGCAGCTTCGTCTGGATGCACGCGTCGTTTTGCTTGTCCATGTGTGCGTGTTTTTTTTCTTTTATCTCTTCTCTTGTGTGTACCATGATCTGTCCGCCAACACGGATGCAAAATATTTGGACGACGAACCCCGAGAGTAACTAGAGGCGTGTTCCTCGTTCAGGCCGGGACGTGCAGGTGTATCGACTGACCCCTTCGTGACAGCAGTACACAAGGCCCTCATGTTTTGGTTTTCTATTCAGTGTGTTTGTCCTCCCAACTACGCGGGGCACAAGACGCGTACGTTTGCCAACGGGAGGGATGTTTTGGGTTTTCAATGGGGCTTTCGCCCGCACGCGCTCTCGTGTGTCCCCCCGGTCATGAGTTCTCACCGCTGCTTCTGGGCCAGGCCACGTTGAGAAGGCGGCAGCCGCGTCTGGCTGCGGCTACGGCGTCGGTCGACGGAGGTCGTTCCATCCATGCCTTCGTAGAATGTTCCATGAAACAGCGGTGTCCCACTTTCAGCACCACGGCACGATAATCCCCTCTCAGGCTGGTTGGCTGCTTTGAATGGAATAACGGCGGGATCGAAAGAGGAAGAAGGTCGTTCGTCGTTCAAACATCAAGCAAGCCCCATCGTGGGTGATGTGAACCATGGTTTTCGTTTCTGATAGTGGCGGTGGCGGTGGAGTTTTTTTTTTTTGTAGTGACTCGAAACGATCTATCGGTGGTGGTCTGAATGAAGAGTTCGTGATTTTAGCGCGGGCCTCGTCTTATATCCCGTTCAGCAGACCGGCGGTAGGCAACAGTAGGTCTTGCGCGAGCCAAGGGATTAAGGATCGTGGGGTTTGTCCGCCAGGTGGAAAACCGATGGGTTAGTCGTGCTCGGGAGAGGCGAAAAGTGACTGCTGACTGTGGGTTGCTCGCCGATGGGCGTACCATCAAGGCACAGAAAAGCAGGCAACGGATGGTCTTGCTGTACCTTTTTTTGATTGTTTGGTGGTAATGTGGGTCGTTTTTGGCGGGTTTCTGGTTTCCGGAGGGGGGCGAAACGGAAGAAGAGGACAACGGACAAGCATCTGATAGTCTTGCTGTTTGGGGTGTAGAAAAACACGCTATTTTCTGCGTTGTCGTCAGCGCCTACTTCACTTGCACTGATTCACAAGTTTATAGCCGAAGGCAGGGCTCAATTGGTTCTTTCAAAGAGATTAAAAGCAAAAGGTTTGTTCGCTTAAGTTGTACGGGTACCAGCATGCCTGCGTGTCACATCGTCGCTGTCCGCGTAATAAATTGTTGTCTTTGCTTGGTTTTGTTCTTGGAGGATTATGACTTCTTTCAAGTCATTATGTGGATCTCACGAGCAGTACAACCGAGTGTATCTCAAATCTCGAAAATGCTGTTCATTAAAAAAGGCTGCTTTTGATTTCAACGAACGTCGATGGGTGTCGGGGAAATTGTGGGTATTCTAGAACTACAAGAGAGTGTGCCTGTGCTTGTTGTTTGAAAAATATGCAAGAAAAATAATTTTCAACGGCGGCCTGCGTTTGTTTGCCAAGCCCCGCCTCTATCCAATTGGGAAAAGGGCTTGAGTCGAAGCCGGGGGCTACTACCTTTTGCAATATAACAGCTCTACTCCTGCTGCAATTGCGATTTTTTACGTTAGGGTGGCAACATCTTCTTGAAGGCCTCTCTCTCCAGAGCGCGAAGCAGCGCTCACTCACTCAAAAGCCCGTGTGGCGGTGTGGCGCGCTCGACCGCAAGGATGTATGTACCTCGCGTCGCTGACGGGCAGGAGCTACCTATGTATGCGAGATTCGATACAGATGGTAGCCCGCAGTTAGGAAACGTCAAAATCGGGTCGAGCCTCAATCCCTTATTTTTGGTACAAGGGTCGGCCGAAGTCATCCATTAATAGGGTTTCTTACACCGACTGTCGCATCATATTTTCTTACTTCTGCCTTTTGATCTCTGAGGACAAAATCCACTTCTTCAAGCCCTCAGTCAAGTGAGGCGGTGGAGAGTGCCATCAAACCCGTGAGCAGCAGGGGCGCGGCGGGCTCCGCGAAAATAAAATGCACCGCTGCTAGCTAGGTAGGGGGGTGGAAGCACCGACGGAGCAGCAGTGAGAAATTTCTTACTGGACACGCTCCCCCAGCTGCCCCTTGTGTCTGATGTCTTGGGGGTATCGCACCGTCATGCTTCTTTTTGGGACGTTTCTTATTTTATTTGTTGTGGCCGACACTGAGCTGTGTTTATTAGCCCTTTTTTCATTTTTTCGTAAAAGCTTGAGTAGGTGCTTCCAGCAATTATATGATGTACATATACTAGTCTAGTTGTGTTGTGAATCTCCATATCCTGACCTCCACATTTATTTGGGATCGGGGATATTGGCCTTCGGGAACGTATACGAAGATTTAGGAAGGTAAACGATGAAGACCCGCGTTGACAGAGAGCATGCAAGACCAACAACCCATCCTCCGGGTGCTAGGAAGCGTGGACTTCCAGGTTACCAGCTGGGTGAAGGAGCACCTTGCTTGATGGAACTCTGGTGAGCACAAAGTGAAGATCGTACATACACATCCCGACATTATTCGGCGTCATGGTATTCCGTGCGCTGTGCCTTGAATTACCCCCCTACTTCCAAAATTGTTATTTAGGGCGCTGATAAATGGAGTCATAAAATGGAGTTGGTGATCATGCAGCCCCTCAGCTGGAATTGGCCCCGGGAGGTTGTACAATTGTTAATCCATGGGCACGGTGTGTCTTCTCGACATGTATCTGAAGGAAAAGCACTTTCGACCATGCACACGCATCTTTCTCTGGCGTGAGACCGAATGTCTCCGGCCTTGTAGAGNGGGGGGGGGGGGGGGGGGGGGGGGGGGGGGGGGGGGGGGGGGGGGGGGGGGGGGGGGGGGGGGGGGGGGGGGGTGCTCCAGAAGATGATGAGTCGTCATTCTGCTCCACTAGAGAGTGGCTTGGACAAGGCTGAGTGAGGTAGGAAACAATGAACACCGAGTCTGACAGTACTCACACTACATCGGTGAACTTGTCCGATTTTGGGAACATGTGAGTGAATCCTGGTGGGACAGCATCCCATGACCATATGCTACCCGCCCGCTGTTTCAGAGTACGCACATCGATGTGCGATTGTACGTGTGTTCCAACAAAATGATTCAAATTGCCAAACATGCATCGCATGTTTCAGTTCTCCATGGGTACGTTTATGTATCGCAACCAAACGTTGGACTTTCGTCCCGTTGCTGCCACCTGTCCCCGCAAACTCTGCCACCCCAAATGTACAACACGAAACAGCAGCAGCTCTGTACCGGCCAGCGAAGACGGGGAAAGCACAACGCTCATACCCGCAGAATTCGGCGACGCAAAAAGACACTTTGCCAAAACAAACACCAAACATGCCCAAAATCAACCGAAAAAAAAAAGCGAACGCGACCACGACTACGGCGGCTACATGGCAACGAGAGAGGTGTATGTGTATTAACAAACGTTGTCATCGACACACTCACGACCTTGGTACGTGTCTGTTCACTCGTCAACCTCGAGAACTACTTCAAATTTACCATGAAAACGCAGGCGTGACTCAAAAACTCGGGCATATAAACCAAACCGTCAAATCACATCGGAAGCGCACATCAACAGAGGGCGTGAAAACATGAACAGAACGTTAATCTGCGGAACGCGCCATCAATTGCACCCACATGCCTGCCGACAATTACACGCGCATAAACGAACGCGTGTGCCAAGAAGCAGCCTTAGTGGCACGTAGCCTCTCCCGTGACGCCCCCTCCTGGGATCCCAGATCATGGCCCATAGGAGCAGTTCTGTTTTCAACCGCACTGAGACTGACATTTTGGTCAGCCGGGTAGCGAGATGCTAACAAAAAATACACACACACACACTACAATTGATCCGAAGGATATTTAGCCTCCCCCATGCTGAGCCTGGTCCGGTGAGAACCCGGCGTGCTCCGTCCCGGCTTTGTAGGGATGCGAGGTCAATGGTCTAACGACTACGGCATGCACGACTATGAGTACATCCATGCTGCCCCCTCACGGGGTCCCAGTCCATGGCAGATAGAAGTGTTTTGTGTTTCCAACTGCTAAGACTGACGTCTTTCATCGGTCAGCCCGTTAGCGCGGTCGATGCTAATAATAAAGACACACACGCCACTCATGGGGCGGTTCCATGGCCCCGATCAAACCCCCACGCGCCCATCGAAGGCACAAGAGCATCAAAAATCAAACCAAACAGCTCGTTCCCGTTCCTTCCAGCAAAAATAAAAACAATACCTCTCCCTTTCCGTCCCTTCAGCAAAACATAAAAACAACCCCCCCCCCCCCCCTCAACTCCTCAACTCCTCAACTTTCAACTCCTCGCATCAAACAAACACCCAATAAAAATAACAAAACTCGGCGGCAGCATCGCCAGTGCTTCAAAAATCACTTACGCCGCCATTCTTGCCCCCCCGCCGCCGCTGCCGCTGCCGCCCCCGTCCTCCGCCCCGTCTTCCTCCCCGTCGCTATCGGTCACCGCGCACTCCCAGGTGGGGCTCGGTAGCCGGAAGACGGGCATACTGGCCTCCATCAGGGCCCGCACGTCTCGTCGCGCTCGTCTGCCGGCCTCCGTACCCCCGGGGCCCCGCGCCCCCCAGTCCGAAACCACAAAGCAGCAGTTGTTGGTGGGCGCGGCGCCGCCCCGGATGCCCCCCATCGCCCCGGCCGCCGCGCCGAACAAGGTCTCCCTCACCCTGGCAGGGTCCGCCGAGTCCACCACCACGACTCGGTCCGCGTGCGGGCGTACCCGGGCGACGCGGGCCTCCAGGCTCTCGAACGGCCGTCCTCCTGCTCTCACTCCCGCCGCTGCTCCTGCTTGCCCGCCATAGCCGCCGCTGTCCCCAACCTTACCCTTGCCGCCGTGTGAGGCCGCGTGCGCGGCGTCCGTGTAGACCCCCACAACGACCACCGCCCCGAACTCCCGCAGGAAGCGGAGCGGGGACGGGCCCTCTACCGCTTCCTTCGTAGCCGCCGTCACCGCTGACGTCGCCGGAGGCGACGGCGGCCTGCCGCTGCCCAAGTACCCGAAAGCGAGGCTCCCTCCTCCAGCTGCTCCTGCCCCGCCCCCCCCGGCGGTGTTGCTCGTGGAGGCGCTCCCGGGAGGGGCAGTCTTGGGAAGGGCGGGGGGCTCCGCGGGAGGCAGGCGCGGGCGATCGAACGTACCCACGCTGTAAACGGTGCGGTCCGCCCAGCAGGGCCCCCCAGCCGCGGGACCAAGCGCGAGCGCCGGGCGCAGGCTCCGCAGGTGGTCCGACATGGCTGAAGCCATGCGCAGCACCTTTTGATTGCGGTGGTGTGTTATCGGGGGGGGGGGGGGGGGGGG